TTTTTAATCTGCTCAAGACCTTACAATAAGGTAGGGTAAACCGAGGCCTTTTTTTCTCCTTATTCTGACCACCCATAGTTTTCCATACTAGGGTAAATTTGAAGGATAAAATGATGAGTCAGTTTGGGGCATGTTTTAGACACATAGATTTGGAAAGGCCACTGATCTGAATTAGATTTGGAGCTCATGAGCTGAACTAGAGAGAGCATTGTTTTCAATTTGATATATAAATTTACTTAAAAACCTGTTGCAAAAACGGCAAGGAGGCCACATGTTCTGACCTCCTCTAATCCCACGAGAGGAAGACAGGATTACCAGCAGTAACCCAAGGCCTATTACTTCAAGGCCAGACATGCTGCCTCCCTCCAGCCCTTTCACCAACCGTTCCTCCCAAAGCACCCACCACCTCTCTCCTGGGTTCGATAATTCACTGCAGTGGCCACACAGAACTCACAGATTATGGGGTTTATTAGGGAAGCACCAGGCTACAACTCAAGTTCAGGAAGAACGCTCAGTCTCTCTCCCAGCCCAATGTCCCTCAGCCAACAGTCTCTCACAGTCTCTTTCCCAGCAGTGCTGGTCCCTCGGTGTCTCACTCAGCAATGCGTGTCTCTCGCATCTCTTTCCTAGCAGCACGTGTCTCTTTCAGCAGCACGTCTTCCTCCACCAGCAGTCAGAGCGAGTTCTGCCTCCAGGAGGCCTCCTTTTGAGCCTGGAAGGGTGGTCAAACTAGCCAATCACAGCATCAGAACTCTAAGCACGTGAGAGAGAGTGGGAACTTCCCAGAACATTGTATTGTGCCACGCCCAACAGAAATAACCCAGGTGGGCGACTTTAAAATCAGGATCTCCTCCGTAGCTAATAGCAATTCCCACCTTAGAGTTTACAAAGACTTATGGGTAGAAAAGCCACACTAAGTAATTTACTATACCGCACCTGTGATCTAAATTAGTACAGTATAAGGAATTTGAGTAGATTTAAAGAAAGGCTATATGTGTAGTCATGTAGTCTAAATTAGGCAGAGTCCAGATTTAGAAGTGACAATTGTAGCCTTCAGTTCTGTTTTGCTTCCAGACTGTGAGACCTTGGGTAAATGGACTGAATTTACACAAGTGAAAACTTGAGTTATTGATCTACATTTTCAAAGTCTCTTCTGTTACTAAAAAAGTTCTAACATACATGAGCTCTGTTATTTAAATATTTCTAAGGAGACCTGGTGGCACAGTGGTTAAAACACTTTGCTGTTAATCGAAAGGTTGGTGGTTCAAACCCACTAGGCACTTTATGAGAGAAAAACAAAGCAATCTGCTTCCATAAAGATTAAACCAAAACCAAACTGACTGCTGTTGAGTCATTTCCGACTCATAGTGACCCCTCCTCGGGTTTCCAAGGAGTTATCTCTGTGGAAGTAGATTGCCTAGTCTTCCTTCAGAGGAGTGACTGGTGGGTTTGAACTACCAGCCTTCTGGTTAGCAGTCAATTGCCTTAGGTACTACATCACCAGCGTTCCCTCATAAAGAGTCCCCCCCCCCCAAAAAAAAAAAAAACATACTCACTGCCCTCAAGTTGGATCGGACTCTTAGTGACCCCCTCCTTGGGTTTCCCAGGCCATGTGGAAGTAGATCCGTCCTTCCGAGGAGTGGCCACTGGGTTTGAACCACCAGCCTTCTGGTTAGCAGTCAAATACCTTAGGCACTATGCCACCAGAGCTCCTTGAAAACCCTATGGAGCAGTGCTACTCTATCCTGTAGGTTCACTATGAGTCAGAATTGACTCGACAGTAGTAGGTTTTGTAGGTTGGATAAGTATAGGTGATGCCTCTGGATCAAGATTCAGAATGTATTCCTAAGAACCATCTTGATTCCATTTAAAAAAAGAAAAGAAAAATGAACTCACTGCCGTCGAGTCGGATCTGACTCATAGCGACCCCTACTTGGGTTTCCAAGGTAGTATCTGTATGGAAGTAGATTGCCCAATATTCCTTCCGAGTAGTGACTGGTGGGTTTGAACTGGCAGCCTTCTGGTTATGTGGAGAAGAGCAGAAGAAAGAAGATCGAGAACCAGAGGCTCAGTTAAGCCAGTAATTTAATACAGAACTTTACTTACACGTTGTCAATTTATGAACTTCTGTATAGAAATGAACAGAAGCTACGTGCCAGAACAAAGGTGTCTCTTTCTACCCCAACAAATGGTTTAGTGATTGTGGGCAGTCATTTACTTTTGCTTTATTACCCTTGTTTGTCCTTATAATCTGGTGGTTCAAACCCACCAGCCACTCCTCGGAAGGAAGGTTGGGCAGTCTACTTCCGTAGTGATACAGCCTCAGAAACCCGAAGAGGAGTCGCTATGAGTTGCATCCCACTCGAGAGCAGTGCATTGTTGTCCTTATTCTTTAGATTTCTAAAAAGCTTACTTAAACACAAGCAGCAATAATGGAAGTACTGGTAAGAAAGGCATGTGATTGTAGTGGAGAAGAAAGTGGAACTTTACATAGATGTGTTCACATTAGCTATTGAGACAAAGTCACTTTGTGTTTATGAACAAGTATATTTTGGATCAACCATTGGAACCTCACCTTTTACAGAGAAGCTTCTCTATCAGGCAACGTCCCTTATTTCTGGTTATACTTTCTTACTGTGGTTTTTCAAGTTTTGAATAATGGTTTCCTCTTTACCAAAAGTACTACAATCATACTTCATTTTTTATGAAGAATACGTGTAAAAATAGTGAAATGTCTAAAAATATATTTTGAAGTGTCTGTTATACAATGGTTACTTCCTCAGAAAATGTTTTGCTCTTAAGTATCTTGGTACCTGGCACATTACCTTGCAAATTACAGGCATTCAAGCATTTGTTCACTTGAATTAGAAGTATACAATTTTCAAATTGAGACAATGTACAGTTGATGCTAAATTGGTGGTACAAGTAGTGAGTGCTGTGTTCCTGAAGGAAATGATCCCTGTGGGTCAAGGTATAAGGATTGGCAGGGTTTGTGAAAGACAAGAGATTTGAGTTGAGCATTGAAAAATGGAAAAGTTTCCAGTGGCTGCTGAAAAGAAGTAGTGGTGTTTTCAGGCATGGGAAATAATAGATATTGAGAAAAAAAGGCAAGAATGAATGGACTTTGTGCAGAGGACTAAACAAAGATAGACTAAACAAAGATAATATGGAGGAATTGGGTTGAATAATTATTTATGGCAAAATATTGTAAGTAACATTTGACCCGTGGCCAAATGTATATCTTATGTTTATATACCTATCTAAGTGCTTGGCTGCCAGCTGAAAGGTTGGTGATTCTAACCCTTCAGTCACTCTACGGGAGATTGATGTAGCAGTCTGCTTCTATAAAGGTTTATAGCGTTGGAAACCCTGTGGGACAGTTACACTCAGTCCTCCAGGGTCACTGTGAGCCAACAATGGGGTTTGTTGTTTTGATTATGATAAGTTTAGGTCAAAGCATTTTTTTCCCCTCTGAATCTCATGCGCTACTCAAAAACTATTTGAAGGAGTTAAAAACAACTTCCCAGTGTTGGAGTTGTGATTTGTTTTCCTTGAACTCACTAATAAGGGAGTGAGTAAGGAGTAAGGTTGAGGAAATTACATGATTAGATTCTAATTTAATGAGTAGAAAAAGTGGCTAAACTGAATTTATATCTCTGATTTTATTTGAATTCCCAGTTAGGGAAATCAGTAAGCCATGATGACTCCTAGAGGCCAGAATATATAAAGGGAATTGGCTTTACTAAAATTAGGAAATTGAGTACATTATTTGGGTAGCACATACTAGGTGGATTAAAGTTTTGAGGGCAACTGATTTTCCAGGTCAGCTGCATTCCTAAACTTGTTGCTTTTAAAAGTATTAGGAAATTAGTGGCCCATTTTTTCCTTGGAACTGTCTTTTGAAATATTTACATTAAAATTATCATTGCTGTTTCCAAGAACTAGATGTTATATATTGTGATGATTTTTATACCTTTTTCTTTTCATGTCACATTAATGCTCATGACAGTATGATATAATTTTTAATAAAATTGTAATAAACTCTTACATTCAGTTTTTTCCTTTTACTTCTGTTAGTAGTAACTCTCTTCTATTTTTTTAATAGACAAACATTTTTGGCAGACATTTTTAAAGTATGTCTCCCTCCGCTGTGAAATTGTTTTCACTCTTAAGTTGCGTTTCTGTTTTTCTACTATTGTAAAGTGCAGTTCTTTGCATGTTCTAATTTGCCATGACGTGGTCAAGTGCTGTTTCCTTCCTGTTGCTTGCAAGCCTGTGCTAGAGATAAGGATACATTTCAGTGCATTAAAAAAGAAGCCACTGAAGACAGGCTTAAGCATGGTAACTCCTAAAGCCGCCTACTTACCAGAAGCCTTTTTAGAAAACAGAAAGAGTGGGTTTTTATTTTCTACTTATTTGAAAAATCTGTTAAAATAGTACTTATTAAACCCTAAATGTATTAGACCTTTAAACAGATTTTAAAATCCTTATAGATACTAGACCTAACAGAAATATTCTATTATAGACAAAGATAGACATTATGAAATTACTCATGAAGTAGAAATTCATATGTAGGTGGTTTGCCAGTTAATGGAAAAAAGGGTATTGTTTATATATCCTGTATCTCAATAACAAATGTACTAATATTGCGGAACGTTTTTTTGTTTGTTTGTTTGTTTTTGTTTTTAAATATTCAGTACTTTAACTGTAATAAAACTGGGGGGATGGAAAATGAAGGATAGACGTCATTTTCACAAATGAAAGGGACTTTTATCTTAGCAGGAATGAAATCATCAAGACTATGTTACTTAAAAAGGCCTATGTTCATTACTCTTGTTGATTTTATTTAAAACGAACATTAAAAAAATGCTTTGGAGACACTGCCTTCTGTATTAGTTATATTTTAAATGGTTATGATTGCTTTTTCATAACTAACTTAAGCTTTTGTTTTTCAGGCCAAGAAGTTCAGAGAAGAAAATTTGCCTCAGTTTGATTGCAGTATCAGTGAAGTAAGAAAATTTGAAGCACCTTCTCTAAAGAAAGCCTCAGTAACTTGACAGACTCAGCTGTGGGTTTTTTACCCAAATTAATCACTGGATTCTGCAGCGTGATACTTGAATCTGGTTGGAATTTTTCTCATGTGGATCTAAGGGGAATGCTTTATTATGGCTGCTGTTGTCCAACAGAACGACCTAGTATTTGAATTTGCTAGTAACGTCATGGAGGATGAACAACAGGTATGAGACCCAGAGAATATTGGGCTTTAACAAATTTATTCTTATAATTTCTCCACTTATATCAGAAAATCATAATACTTCAAAAAACAATCAACTTTAAAAGTTTTCTGAAGTAAAAATCTATAGGTAATGTGTTCTTACGTTTTAAATATCAGTTAAGTCATAATTTATGAATCTTAGCTTTGATGTGGTAACAAGGAAGTAGTTTTTTGGGGTTCAACTTATTTTTCTGTAAATTAAAACTAAACAGCAAATGCGTTAAGTAATTATTTAGAAATACTTTGAAAAGTATAAATTCTAGAGGGACACTAACAGGATACATAAATGGTGTTTTATAGTATACAGTTGGTGATTATAAGACTTCTGCAATTTTACAGGGTTGTACAGTTTTAATATGTGTAGTTAACATTTATAATTTTGGGCAGTCCCATAATCACCATCATTTCAGTCCAAAGCATGTGACTCTGAGGAAGTTACTCAGCTTCTCTAGATCTAGATTTCATCATCTGTGGAATAAGGGGATTAGACTGAATGATTTCTACATCAGCTCTTTTCATTGAATTTCTCAAGATGTACAAATTGGTTTTTCCAGAATGTTAATTAAATAATAAATAAATAAATAAAAATCCAAGAGATAAGTAAAGGATCTAAAAGTCTTTATTTTTGTGGCCAAGATTTCTTAGGACTGTCAGTTGTTTTTTTTTTTAAGTGTTTATTTTAAACAGGATATTTGGAATTATAAGATATATTAAGGTAGAAATGGTGTGTTGGAGGATTCAGTTTTTTGGGGAAAATATTTTGTAGACCAGTAGCTTTAAACTGTTTTTAATAAGGTTGATTTGTATATTGAAATGAACCTTACCTCAAATACCTGACTCATACAGAACAGCCATGATGTATCATGCTTTTACTCTGAAAACATGTCGTTGTTGTTATGTGCTGTCAAGTCAGACCCAACTCATAGTGACCCCTCCTTGGGTTTCTGAGGCAGTATCACTACGGAAGTAGATTGCCACATTCTTCCTTCCAAGGAGTGGCTGGTGGTTTTGAACCGCCAGCCTTCTGATCAGCAGTCATGTGCTTTAGGCACTACGCTACCAGAGCTCCCTCGTTACTATAAATAATAAAAATTGATTTCTCCTTTTAGTAGGGCATTTTGATTTCTTAGCTGTTTATATTGTGCTGACATTGACGTGACAGAACACAAAATGAATAAATAAACATACAAAAGGTGAGAATTTGCATTAAGGTATCTTAAAATCAAGATGTGCCTTGGCCAGGGAGGAAAAAAAATTGAGGAAGAGGACTGCTTTGGTCCCAAGTAAAAATATATTAATAGTTATTTAGGTTTAATCTAGAAAGGATAGAAAAGAATTTTTTAGAAAAAGCAGGTGTTTTGATTTGTTCTAGAATGAGATATTTATGTATATGTTAAGATTTGAAAATTGTGTTTACTGTTCAGCAGTCTTACAGGAAAGATCCTGTTGTAGATCCTGTGGCTCCTAGGCTTGATGTGGTGAGGTGTATTGTCAGGATAGAGCAGCAGAAGACAGAGCTCTGACTCCCACTCACTGACTAGTACCCCTGTAATGCAAGGGCTTTGCGCTCTTTTGTCCATAAAAAAGTGCATTTTACATTACAGCTCAGTGTATCTACATGTGTCTATGTAGCTTTTCTTTTTAAAAAAAAAAAAAAAAAAAAGTTTTACAAAACAGTACCTACCTTTACTATGTCCAGTGCATTTAGTTTATCTTGTTCAGAGGTTAATTGTGTCTTTGGATAATGCTCTTAGTTGAACATCAGAATGTATGTGTGCTTTTTAGTTATTTATTTTTCTCTTTTTACTCTTCTGGAGAAGTCTTTAGAACCACATAAAAATTTAATTTTTAGAAGGTCCCATTCATCTAGTTTCTTTTCTGCTGTTTATGTATTTTAGGTTATGCTTGATAGTCTATTTATGCCATATATTGTTGCTGTTGTTATGTGCCGTCAAGTC